AAATCCTTAAGTGTAAGTGATGGCGGTGGGGGAGAAGGAGGGGGCGTCTTTGGCTTAGGTTGCTGTGAAGTTTGAACAACCGGAGAAGAAATCTGACCTTTCAAAGGAGCAGAAATTCCAGTACGTTTTGAAGCCATCTCTTAAAAAAAAAAAATCTTGTATAATCTTGTAAAAGCAATAGTTGCAAGATATGTGTATAAGAAAAAAGAAAAAACAATAATAATAAAAAAAGGAAAAAGGAAGCTTGCAATTTACATAAATTGTTTCCTTGTCTTCACTTAAACGTCAAGTAAAAGTGAAAGTCTCTTAAGTATCACTTCAAACAAAAGAACGATATTCCGCGGCCATATTTTTTCTTCTTCTTGTAGTTTAAATAGTAAATGAAGATACTTATTTATCTTCTGAGTTAAAGTCCCAAATTAACCAAATTCCAATCTTCCTGATCAGCTCCGTCTGCTTTTAATTTTACTCACAGTCTTTTCAATTAGCAGATGTGGAAGCAGCGTCTGGCTTTGTTCCTAAGAACAAAGGCGGCCCGAGGTGCGGAGAAAACTCAGAATCCGAGGGAGTTCTCACCTTCGTCCTCCAAAGAAAATTTTTTAGAGGACTAGGGAACTCAACCTCTATCCAGGAAAACTCACCTCCTCCCCTTCACCCGGGGAGAGAGGTTCCAAGCCATGGAACAGCTGTTGAGCGCCGTCCCTTCAGGCTTTAACGCATCCCCAGGGCAGACGGCTTAGAAAAAAGCCGCCATCGGCACGGCAGTCACCACCGGAAGCCAACAGGTCAACTATTAATGTCGTTATAGAGTCCCAATGGGGTTTGGAAGGCTGAAACAATCAGCCCAGGAAAATAAAAGTAGGGTTCTGCTACGTGTGGTAATATACCCCCTTGCTCCCCCTCAGCATGATATAAAGTGCAGGGCTAAAGTTCTATTGGAATAGAATCAAATTCCACAAAGTGATGGAAGAGATTGTTATTCTTTTTTAAGTCAATTAAAATAGCTGGTGATAAAAAGGAACTTCTGCCTCAGTTTTTATTTTAGAATAGTTCCTTTCAATATATTACCTTCTCAGTTTTTGGATAATTGATAGATACTTTCTTTGCTTTACTTTGGATTGTCAGGATCACAGGAGTACATGAGAGTTAGATTATTCAATAAGAAACACTGGTGATGTCTCACAGAGCTTTGGTAATTGTAGGAAATAATTAGTTTCCTACAATTAGTTTCCTTTTGGAAATGTTTCTCTTCTCTCAATCAGCTGGAATCAATTATATTTTTTTGTATAGACATTATTTGCTTCCATCATCAGAATATGCTTAAGGGTGTTGGATAAGGAAAGTTAAAATCATTTGCGTGCATGATATAGTTATTTAGTTACATTAGTGTTATAAGATTGTAAGTGTTGTAAGAAAATATTGAATAATTATTATAGTGATGAAAAAAGAGGACATTTATCCTACCTTAGCTCCTCCCTCCTGATTAATTCCAATACAGTGTCCATCTTCCACCTACTACTTTGTCTCAGCTTCTGAGTCTAAATGCAATTATTCCATTATTTAACTGTTACAATTCTGCAAGACATTTTCTGTCCCTTCCATAGAAAAGGTTAAACCAATGATTATGTAACAAATAATGGAATCTATAAATTAAGAAACTGAGTTCATAATGCTTATTCTGCTGGATCATTTTTTCTGAGTAGACACTAATCATGAAATAGATTCAGCCAATGAGTTGGTTTGTCTGAGCCATTTCCCACTAATTGATTATTGTATCTTTATAGCACTACTTAGCCATTGCTGAAATGGTTTAAATCTTGTCCTCATTGCTGTTATTTTGGCATGGGATGATTCTTGAAGATGCTACAAGTTGCTAGTAGGAAATTGCTATATTATGATTGGATTTAAAATATCAACTCCAATGACAATTCCATTATTTCCTACTATCCTATGCATGTTCAAAAATTCTTAGAAAATTTTCTCATCTATCTTACAATAACCATGTAATTCAGGGGTGTCAAACTGCTGGCCTGTGGGCCAGACGTGTCGTTGGGAAACCACGCCCACCCCATTGCCGGCAATGGCGAAAAAGCTCCGATACGTCACGTGACGTCGCAAGTTTGACATGTCTGATGTAATTAAATAACTATATCATGTGTACGGAAATTATTTAACTTTGCTTATCCAATATTCTGATGATGGAAGCAAATAATGCCTATGCAAAATATATAACTGATTCCATTTGATGGAGAGAAAAAAATATGCCATAAAAGGAAACTAATTATATGATTGCCATTGCCTACAATTACCAAACCTCCATGAACCATTACTAGTGTTTCTTGTTGAACAGTCTAACTATAATGTACTCCTGTGACTCTAGGACATTTAGGCATCGACACTTGGCCATGCCAATTTCACCCCCAGCCACCCGCCTCAGCTGATTCAAAGCTTTCCTCCTCTACTAGTCATCCCCTGGCCATTGTCCACTGCCTATGATCCCCTGGCCCTCTGCCCTCCACCCTTAGTCCCTGCCCATTCACCCAGGTACCGTTTGACCGGGTGTTTTGTTGCACAGAACAAATAGCCCCCATCCAATCAGGTAGCGGGCAGAAACAATGATGCTGTGGGTGTAGTGTGTGATTGACAGTGGGCAGGACAATCACAGGGACTGTGTGTGGGGACCAGCAGTGGGCAGGATGATCACAGGGACTGTGTGTGGGGGCCAGCATTTTAAGCCCTACGTTGCTTCACAATTTTTTTTTAAAAGGGCTGCACTTTCAGACCAATTGGGTAGCTCCAGAGCCATGGTTCTGACAGGTTGTGCAGAGGGGGACAGGAACCAAGTTATAAAAAGGTGTCGGAAACTACAAAGCTGCAGCGCGAAAGCATCCTGCTGCTCGGCCACATGGATCTGTGGGAAAAGAAAGTGCATTTTGGAGAGAGAAAAAAATGGAAATTGTTCATAGGGGGCATGTGTGCTTAAGTGTGTTAAACCAATACAATATTTACCTAATGTTACCTTCATGTGTAAGTCTCCATAAGTCCCCCAATCTGCCCTTGCCACCATTTATTTTCTAAAAAAATCTTCCTAAGAGATACCTAAAGAGACATCTTCACAGAGAACCTTACTTTATATTTATTCCCAACTCTTAGGATGACATGTCTAATGAAGTGAATATTAAAATCATCATTTACTTTAACCTTATCATATCATAAATAGTCATCCTGTCCAAATCTTAATTCATGGCCCTCTAGCTTGAGTAACATCTTATTTTGGAGGATCACCCACTCTTTTAGCCAGACCAAAAAACAGGCATTAAATTACAATTTTAAATCTGTTAAATCCAAATCTCTAATTATCTTAGCAGCTTGCAATAATTTATATCTTCTTTATTTTTTTCTTGCCATATAAACTTAGAGATACCTATCTGCCATTGTTTAAATGGAGTATCATAAGTATTGATAAAGCCTGAAACAAAAAAAGTATCTTTGGTAAAACATCTTAATAAGTCTTTTTAATATCATTCCAAAGAGGCACAAAATTATTTTGAAACAGTTTAGCATTTATATTTGTTAATATAACCCCGAGGTATTTCACCTTTTTCTCCGCCTTACAACCCAACTTCTTAAAAAGCATTGTTATTTTCTATTTATTTTAAAGCCCACTAAAGCTCCAAACTCATTTAGTTTCTTTATCAAATATTCTATATTAGTTTTTGGGCATTTCAAAAATATAATTAAATCATCAGCAAATGCTTTCAATTTATAAACTTCCTTTTTGATATTTGTAACTGTTATTTTCTCATCTTGCCTAATATTCCTATTCAAAGCTTCCAATACCAGTATAAACAACAGAAAAGATAAGGGGCATCTTTGCCTCGTACCTTTTTGATTTTCACATAGTTTAGTTAAATCTCCATTAATAATAATCTTTGCTTGTTCTGACGTATAATCTGCTTTAACCCCTTGAATAAATTTCTCCCCAAAAGCCGTATCTTCCAAAACTTTAAACATAAAAATCCAATTTAAATTGTCAAAGGCCTTTACTGTATGCAAAAACTATTAAAGCTGCCTGTTTCTCATGATATTGCAGGTATTCAATAATTTTCAAAACGGTCCTCACATTGTCTCTTTAACTGTCTTGTTGGCAAAAAGCCAGATTGAGCTTAATATATATATGTCTGTAAAACCTTCTTCAATCTTTCTGCCAAAATTGCAGTGAAATGTTTATAATCATTATTTAATAATGAAATTGATCTATAGTTTTTTACACTTTTCTGGTAATAACACAATATTACCTTCTTTCCAGGTTTGAGGTATCTTTGTTCCCTGTAATACTCCATTCATTATATCCTCTAGTCTAGTGCAGGGGTGTCAAACTGCCGGCCCACGGGCCGGATGCATCATGGCAAAACTGCGCCCACCCCATTGCTGGCAATGGAAAAAAAAGTTGTGATACGTCGCAACACATTATGTGACTTTGCAAGTTTGACACTTCTGCTTTAGTGGCTGAAGGAGTTGATTCTAAAAGCATTTATAATGTTGGCTTGTAAGATCATCTAGACCTAGAGTTTTACCTGATTTCATTTTTAATAGTTTCTGGTATTTCAAAAGTAGTTACTGGTTCATTCATAAGTTGTCTTTAAGCTTGTGAAAGTTTAGGTAAATATTGTCTTTGCAGATATTCGTGTACTTTATGCATATCAAGTTCCTGCTTCTTGTAAAGATAGAGTAAGAAGGCTCTACCTTCTTGTTAACTATGTTAACTATGTCACTTGTATATTCTGCATCCAGAAAAAACTTCATGGTGAGTCAAACTTTCTGTTTCTTCAGAAAGAATTGCCAAAAAAAAGAAAGGACAACTCTGCTTAATTGTCTTGTCACTGATCAAATTGAGAGGTAATTTAGATCAAAGTCAGCCTACGAATTTGACTAATACTATTAAGGGTTTTATATGCAAGAAACATTTAAGTCACTTTTTGTTCGACACTGTTTTTCAGACTTCTTGAAGAGACCATTGGAGAACTTTGTGAAAAAATTACGAATACCAGTGTATGTGATTCGAATGGAGCAGCGTTCTGGACTCATCAGAGCCAGATTGAAAGGAGCTGCTGCCTCCAAAGGCCAAGTCATTACCTTTTTAGATGCTCATTGTGAATGCACTCTAGGTTGGCTTGAGCCTCTGTTAGCACGGATTAAAGCTAACAGGTGGTTATTTTATAAAATGTGTTAAAGATTAATATTTATTAATTTAGTTAAATGTGTTTATAACAATACTCTTTCAAAACAATGATTAAAGTTTGTAGATCCTTTTGAGGCTTTTGTTGTGCAGTAGAGCATGTTTTGACAAAAATAAGCAACAGAACATAACCATATTTAAATGAGTTGTGTGTATATACTGGATTGAAATTCCTATAATTTCAACTATCATTGCTTTTCCTCAGTCTTTTTTTTTAATACAAATGCTTTTTTAAAGCGAAGAAGACTTTAATATGGGTCCATCAAATGTTAATGCTGTAGTTTGCTACTATTTTACTTTGAAAACTGTAGAGCTTCAAAGAATCTCACATGTTTTGTGTGGAATATTAGTTTGTTAAAGCTAACTGGATATAATCTTTGTAATATTTCATCCTCTACTTCTGAATCTAAATAAGCGTCCAGATGATTTAGTGACATATAGGGCTCTAATAGGCTTGTCCTCATTATAGTTAGTCTCCAATGTTTAATAAGTAGAATGAAAATCAATTAATAATAAGCTGCATAATTGCTCCTCGCAGTGAATAACACATAGCACTGTTATTATCTTTTGTCTATAACAATCCATGTCATTTATTTCTCTAGGAAAATTGTAGTTTGTCCTATCATTGATGTAATCAGTGATGACACATTTGAATATATGGCAGGCTCTGATATGACTTATGGAGGATTCAACTGGAAGTTAAATTTCCGATGGTATCCTGTTCCTCAGAGAGAAATGGATAGAAGGAAAGGTGATCGGACTCTTCCAGTTAGGTAAAGAAAACTGATTCTTGATTAAACTGAATAGTTTAATAGATATTCAGTTTGATGGATATTCCTTTGAGGTTTAGAAATAAGTACAAGGCTCTGTGATTAATGAATTAATTAATTATATTTCTCAGAAGATCACAATCAAACAGTCTGAAACCACTAGTCCATTTCCAAAACCAGAGGAAGATGGAAACTATTCCTCCACTCAAAAATAATAATCTTTAAGCTGTTACACTGTTTAAACCAATAAGTCATGTTTTATGAGATGGGCAATATGAATATGACAAATAAGTAAATAAAATTTGAACCATAAGTTTATCATAATTATGCATTTGTAATGCATTTGTAATGGCTTCACAACCTTTCTATGATTTCCACATCAGCTTCCCTATGATCTCCATATCATGCCTGTGGAAATTTATTCCTGCCAATTTCTCACCTAGCTGGTTGAGAAAAGCTGACAAACACCATGCAATTCAGAATATTTTTGAAGACAGTATAGCAAGAAATGGATGTTGTTGGTTTATTTTCAAATTAAGAAGTTATTTATTAATAAAATTTATATGGACATGCAACATACTCAAGAATTCCAGTATTAAAACCAAATAATACATTTGCAATAATTAATGCCTTTGTGTTTGTATATAGTGATGAGAATACGGAGCTAAAATGATAAATTATTTGTTTTGCATTACTGGATACCAATACTATTATGAGTTTGTTTTAAAAGATCATTTATAAATATATGAACAAGTTATAATGAATATGTAAATAATTAAAAGTTTCAAATATTTTTGGAATAGGTAGTCCTCAGGTTGTGGCTCTAATTAGGACTAAGCTTTCATTGTTAAGCAAAGTGTTCATAGTGAAACTTCACATGACTGCATTATTTAGTAGTGGGAGTTCCAATAGTCCCAGTTGTGATTGTTAGGCCAGGACTTCTGCCCTATCATACTTACCCACAACTTCTACTCTTACATCTCCTCCCCCCCCCATTTCTGCTGTTTTGACCACCCTGCACTCCATTGCTGCTGCCTATCCCCGTTGCTTCTCCATGTGGCTTCCCCCCAAGGCCTCATATACTTCACTGTAGCTTTTCAAGACTTTGGAAAGTCCTCACAAAGGATCAGCAGCTGCCTTTGCTGGGTACCATTCATCAAAAACAGGAGAAAGAGGGCAGCAAAAGTCAGGTGGGGCAGCTGAGGTAGAGGTTAAATTGCAGAATGAGGAAAAGGGAAAAGATGGAGGGAGATGGAAGAGAAGTAGGAGTTGGTAATGAGTGGCAAGGGATGTCAAAAATATAGGCAAATTGCCATGCATCTGAATTTTGATCATGTGATACTGGGAAAGCTCAATGGCTGGAACTTCAGAGACTGATGGGAACTACTATTCATTCAGTACCTTTTAACTGTCACTGAACAAATGGTTGTAACTGGAGGACTATCTATAAAATAATTGTAACTTGAGGTTATCAGGATAGTGTTGGCTTGCAAGATAATCTCTAGTTTAGACATTTTGGCTTGTATAGGGTAGTATGAATATTTTTGGGTGAAATGAAGTTTCAATACATTTGTGGCATACTGGCCAAAATGTGATCGCGCTGATAATTACTTTTCCAAAATATTTGCAGGAAATGCTGCATAAGATACAAGTATGACTGAGGTTGGTAACCTAGTCAGTAACTTTTCTATGTTACCAAAAAGTGTTACTGTAATGTAAAACTCTTTTTTTTTTTAAACACATTTTATTGGTTTTTTTTATTCTTAAGACAAAGTACTCAGGACACACCGTGGTGTTAGGGTAATCAAACATTCAAGAATAAAAACCATATGTAAATATCTCAACTCAATACATTCAATGTCCCCTCTTTATTTCCCTCAAATAGCATAATACATTTAAAATGTTCCATTTCTAATTTATATTTCTATAACTGCTAAACCTGTTTTAAAACTTTGTAAGTTTACAATTACCATAATCAAATTTAACTTTAAATCAACAAATTATCAATTCAGGTATCCCTTCCAAATATATTCTAATTCTTAATCTCTCGCATCCCTCATTTTATCACAAGTCTCATTTATTTCTTCTTCCACTACACAATACATATCCTAATTAAAATAAAATATTAATCTACCCTATATATATATAATCCATCAATCGATCAATCTCTTAAAAGTAACAAAATAATATTAAGCCTAAAATCATTTCAATTCATTAAACAAGATTCAAATTTTATCCAATTAATTATCATGCCTTATCACATCTATGTTATCATACAAAAACATCATCTTACTAATTTAAAACAATTAATTATTGAAACAGTCCAAATCTAAAAAGCCACCATTTTTTCTATTCCAATACATAATAATTTTCATCAAAATAAACCTATTATTCCACAAAGTACATTCTTAATCTATTTTAAGATATCTGTTCTAATAATCACCCCCCTATTTTTTCCCCCTTATTTCTAACTCTAAATCTTAATCCTTAAAACAGTCCATAAATCAACTGTGCCTTTTAATCCATTACAGATAGTTTGAAATTTCTCTTTTCAGTCTTATTCTGGCCTTCTTTCTATGCCAGGCAGGCTTCCCTAACCAAGCTTCCCTTTCAGCCGATAAATCTCTCTTTATTGCTTGCAGTGCCCTTTGGAAAGATAGTAGTCCCATCCTCTGCATTAGGCCTCTATTTCTCTCATCCTTAAAGCTTCGTTGCTTTAAAGTTTTAAGTCTCAATCTTTGGTTCTTCTGATCCTCAAAGCTATAGATGAAATGTTTGTAAGGTAAAGTCTCTTTTTTCTCAGTTGTTTCCTTTTCTAGTATGTTTTGATTTATAGGATGGTCAGATATAGTCTGGAGATCAGTTTGAATGTTTGAAGTGAAACTTCTGGTTCTTAATTCTGAAGTAAACTCTTTCATTGTAGCACATATTTCTGCAGTAGCCTCATAAATCTTTTCCAATATAAGTTTGCAGTTTAATTGTAAATGAGATTTCTCCATTTTGATAGTAGTTGAAGAGTGTCTCTTTTTTCTTTCTTTTTGTGGAGGCTGTATTTAATAAAAGTTAAATACCCCCACAGTTCCCACTGCTGCATCAGCTTATCTTTTCTCTTCAAAAATAATTTGAAGGTCAATCCTATTCCATCTCCAAAGAATAACCAGAGGTTGCAGTATTAGGTTTTCGCCACTAGATGTCCAGTAGATTTTAAAAAAATCTTTTCCAGACATCATTTCCCCCCTTTTTTCTATCTTTTAAAATATAAAAAAAGAATGTGAAAAATGTGAAAAAAGAAATAATCTTCCAGCATGAAATAATAGTAGAGCTCTTAAGAAAAAGTTTTTTCTGTACCCCAAAACAGATAAAAAGAAAATATAGTATTTGAATTTTTTTTCTATTCTTTTGTTCAATGCCTTTCTTCCCAAACATATAGAAGCTGCTTTTTCCAGACAGGGAAGTAATTCCAACAAAACTCTTACAGGCAAAAAAAGCAAAATAGAATGAAGAGAGGAGCAAAAAAAAAAAATCTCACCCGGGTTCACCACGGTGGTTCTTAATGCTTAGATGTTCTTTGACTTGCGGTTTGGAGCAGCTGGGTGATTGGCCATTTTACTGGCCGATCTTCCTTCTCCGTCGGCCCTCAGAGATGGCTCGGACAGCTGGAGGAGCCACCGCTCCTCCGTAGCCGAGCAAAGCCTTGTCGACAGAAGTCGCACCCTCCAGGGCGACTTTTGACCCGCATAAGGGTCTACCGGCGGAGGGAAACTAGCCGACGAGGAGACGAGTCTCTTCGTATGGCTACAGGCGCCGCGATCCGGAACCGGAAGTCTAATGTAAAACTCTTAATTGATCATAATGTTATATGATCAGTACCTGTGATATCATCTGTTAATGACAACATATGGGGATTTTTAACTTTTTGATTTATAAGTGTTTTATTGATTTCTTTTACACTATTTATTAAGGACATATTGAGAAGAATTTTGTCCTGAAAGTTGACTTATTAATATTTTAAATAAATAAATATGCAATAAAGATCTGGCATAGTGCCCAAAACAAATAGCGTAATGAGAATCAATCTATATAGACACTGTTGCTAACATGAACAGATTTATAACATCTTTGTAACCCATATATTTTTCTATAGCTTAATATAAAGGAATCATTGCATGAACCAGACCAGTCTGTGTGTAGCTGATTGAACTTAATATGTCTTGGCTCAATATTGGTATCATATTTATTTCAGTCAAAGATCAGCATAAAAATTCAGAAAACAATAGCACCTTAAAGCACCATCCATTTTGATGACTTTCTGTGCCTGGGCATATGCTATCCTAATATATTTAATACTAAGTTAAAAAGGAGAAGCCAGTTTGGGGTAATGGTTAAGGCATTAGACTAGAATCAAGAGTTCTAGTCTCATCTTAGGCACAAAGCCAGTTGAGTGATTTTGGACTAGTCACTTTCTCTCCCCTTAGGAAGAAAGGAATGGCAGCCTCTTCTGAAAAAATCATGCCAAGAAAACTGAAGGGACTTGCCTAAGCAGTCTCCAAGAATTAGACACGTATGAATGAAAGGGCGAAAAAAGCTAAGACAATCTAAAACCTGAATTAAAAATAGTCTAAAACCTGAGAATCATTGTGTGGTTTAAAGCTAAAACTATATCTATAACCAAAAACTAAAGAATTATATTCTATTATTTAAAATTCTAAATATAGAGCTGTTAGATGTAGTTAATATGTTAACAGTAAGGTTTTTTGCATCTTGTCACTGAAAGTTTTTGTTTCAGTCAACAAAAACTGTTGGAGAATGTCATCTCTTGCCGATTTTTAATAACAATATGATATAGAATTTGGCAACATTGGAGTGGTAGAGAGGAAAGCTTATACTGTAATAAGAATTCATATACACAGTATTTGCTATGGGAGAGTAAATGAGTATAATTTCATGCGGCATAATGAAGTATGAGCAGTAATTCTACAGTGCCTTTGCCATGAGGGCATAAATGGGTAGCATAGGGTATCTTTTAATACCTGCCAGCAGTATAGCAGTTGGTAGAACATTGCCCTGGTTTAACATTACAGCCCTTTGTGATGGAATTTACAGGTAGTTTTCAACTTACAACCACAATTGAATCTGAAATTTCTGGTTATTGACCAAAGCAGTCATTAAGCAAGATATAACGTGACCTTTTTGCTAACAACAGCAATCCTGGCTTTCCTGGTTGTTGTTAACGAATCACACAAGTTGTTAAGCAGAGTATGGGCTTCTTTATGGGGTTGGGGGAGGCCTGGCAGTATGTGGCCAGGGCCTTCCTCACCCCATGAGTCTGTGGAAACCTACCATGGGCCAGGAAGCCCAGGCCTGCTTCCCACTTTGTGTCCAGGAGGCCTCAGCTGGTTAAAGGCCCAGCAGTATGCATGAAGTATTCCACTTAGCTTTATGTTTTTCTGCAGCTGCTGGCAGGTGTGCCTAGCTGATGTGAGGCATGGCCTTCCTACAGAGGCTGCCTTGTACTGTTTTGCAAGCGAGTGCCAATTCTGGCAGTTGTTTGGAAGACTTCTCCAAATTGTATGAGGAACTTTTGAACAATTGTGAAAATGACACTTGCTTAAAGACAGATGTAAGGTGGACTCTATAGAAAGGCTGCACCTAATATTGTCTGGATGTGCCTGTCAGAAGTTCAATAAAATACAAAAGTAAGTGAAGCAATTTAATGCTGCTGGCCCCTATAACTGACTGAGGTCTTCTGGGCCTGGTGGGGTAAGGAGAAGGCCTGGGCTTCCAGGGCTGCAACAGCTTTATGCGTGCTAAGAGTGGTTGGCTGAGATAGGGTAATGGGGATAGTTGCACTAGTTCTGTGATTGGTCTTAAACCAGGTAGACTGCCTAAAGTCCTGTTTTTATCATGTAAGCATGGCACGTTACAATGACCATAACTTGACAACTGCAATGCATTTCTTAGCAACATGGCAAAAAATAAAGTAAAATTAAACACTATTTATTTAATGAGAGTCGCTTGAGCCACTCAGAGTCTCTGGATAGTGAGATGGGCAGCATATAAATTTTAGTAGATAAATAAATAACAACCGCCTTGCTTAGCAATGGAAATTCTGATCCCAATTGTAATCATAAGTCAAGGACTGCCTATAGTAATCATTAGAGCCTAACTGGGAGCACTCTTTAGCAGACAATAACTTTAAGGTAGCAGAAATAGATAAAGCACTCTATGATCAATAAAAAAATGATTTTCTGAATTACATAGTATAAGCATTTTTCCCACTGGAAGCTTGAAAATATATTCCAAGATATTTCATAATTTTGGTTTTCTCAATTTGAGAATTCAAAACTCTTGTTTTTTCATATTTTTTCTAATTCTTCATCCTTACAATAAATGGCAAAGGATCTCAAAGCACATTTAAAATTTGCTGATTATCCTTAATAAATTATTAGACAATAATTATCTAGAAAATCTCTTTTCTTTCTTTTTAATAGGCATTATTGCTGTTTCCTGATTTTCACAATCATTAATCCAATTAATAAAAGAAGAGGGAGGCTGGAATTGGAATCTATGAATAGCTCAGAATCTAGCTGTTTTGCTAATCTTTTCTTTTTTGTAAAAACTTCATAAAAACCATCTCCACAAAGTTTAATAGACCCAGGAGGTAAAAAAAAAAAAAGTTAATCCTATTGAATTACATGTACCTTAAATAAGAAAAAAAATATTTTATACTATTTTAGTTATAACATTATAAATATGCTTTGATTTTGGAGTAATACAAATTGGATGATAATTATCAACCCTACAAAGCAGACTCCATAATAGACCCCAAAATATATTTATTTAGATTGGTTATTTAGATTTTGCAAGTCTGATTACTCCTCTCCTCATCTCTGTATTACATTCATGTGAATTGCTGGTGGTGGTGGGGAGTGTCTGAGTCATTTTCATAATCCTCCCCTATTGTTTTAATTTAAGCAGTGTTTCACGTTGTTGCTTTTGTAATCTCCATCAAAGTTATTTTCTTTACTCTCTACAGTAGTGCTTCCTGAGTCTGGGTAAATTACCCAAAATTGGGAAACAATGTTTTTTCTTTGGTAACAATACACAAACCCATTATTCAATGACAACCAGGAGTTTAAATAAGGACTCTCTGATAAGCAGTAAAAAGGACTTTTCAATAACCAGTTTGGGTAATGAAAAAAGTTTGTGCTGTACAATAATAGAATGTTGTAGTGAATATCCCCAAAGTTCTGGAGTAAGCCAATGTCTCCTTGTTTCTTAGTGGTCTGATTTTATCTCCATTTTGACTGGCACTCACCATTTGAGTTCATTGTTAAATATTGATAAATATCACATTTCTGTTCAGAAAATTTTATTCTTGTTTTAGGACACCTACAATGGCAGGAGGCCTCTTTTCCATAGACAGAGATTATTTTCAAGAAATTGGAACATATGATGCTGGAATGGATATATGGGGAGGAGAAAACCTTGAGATTTCATTCAGAGTAAGAAATATCCTTTTAAATTCCATGTATTTGGGTGTATTTTCAGTAGAAACAGAAGAATCTTCACATAAATGTTTCTGCAGTGTTATTAAAGGCATACATAAGCCTTGTTCATATGCCAGAATGGAGTGATACAAAGGGAGCACCTGAGAATTCAGTCTGTACAGGTCATGTTTTAATATACAACTATAATTTATTTTGAATTGTATAGGAACTATATTTATTATTTTAAATGATTTTTAATAGTGGTTTTTTTGACATTTTCAGATATGGCAGTGTGGAGGAACTTTGGAAATCGTAACATGTTCACATGTGGGACATGTTTTTCGAAAAGCCACTCCTTATACTTTTCCAGGAGGCACTGGACAAATTATTAATAAAAATAATAGGCGACTTGCAGAAGTTTGGATGGATGAGTTCAAAACTTTCTTTTACATAATTTCTCCAGGTGAGCAAGGCATCTTTAGCATAGAAATCCCAATAATTGAAACTGAGCTATGTAACTTGATACCGATATTATATAATTTTATTTTGGATTTCCAGTTATTTTTGGTTCTTATTTGGGTAATATGTAAAATTTTCTTCAATAATACTTGGCAAAATCGTTTCTCTCAGATGTGGTTAATTACCCAATTTGCCTTTTTGCAGCTTTTGCTGAATATACAAGTATACTAATTGATATCTACTACATTAAGTCCCCTTCATCTGTCAAATTCATAAATTATGGTATTATTGACTTGATGAGTTATTGGCATATACATATATATATGCATGTATATGTGCATGTGTATATGTATGTATGTACGCATGTGTATATGTATGTATTGTATATTATGGCAGTTGGAAATAGACCTGTTTTAAAATGTAATATTTCTTTTAAAGGTCTAACATATGTTTGGCATATCTTTATTTCCTGCACTGAAATATCACTTTCATAATACTATTACTTTATTATACAATTATGCTTTAATATTAACAGTACATATACACTTATGCATGTATATTATGCATGCACAACTACACAATAGTTTATACACTCACACATACACCTACACGTGTGTATGTGTGTGTGAGATATTACTTAATATTATTACTTGGTCAAAATAATGTTAATATTACCCATTCATATAGAATCTAGTTCCTTAACAACTTAAAAACATCAACATAATTATCAAAGAATTCTGAAACATAAGTGCCATCCCAACAACTTTAATGCTACCTGGGCTCCACTGAAAAAGAAGAATCTTTGCTATGTTCCAAAATATCAGATGGGAGAGAATAAGGCACATTCCATAAAACTGGGGCCACAACCAAAAAGTCTGTCTTTGTCCCACTTCTCTCTTCACAAGGGGATAGGAGCCTAAGTAGGTTTTCTCTGCACACATATCTGTACTTCTGTTCTCATTTTTTTGTTTATACTTCTATATCTCTGGTCTCTGTACTTCTAGTCTGCATCTGTGGAGACATAGGTAGTCCTTGACTTACAATAGCTCACTTAGCAACCATTCAAAGTTACAGTGAGCCCCCCAAAAACTACTTATGACTTGGTCTGAAAATTATGGCTGCTCCCCCAATTGTTTGCCCTTACTTGACTGCAGGGACATTACAGTGCCCCCTGCCTCTCTCCTGCCTCCATTTCTCCCCTGGGTCCCCTCAGGTCTTGAGCCTGCTTTCCATCCCACCAAGCCCCCACACTCTCCTTCTCACTTTTCAAAGACCTCTGAAGCTCAGGAGGCCAGGGTAGGGTAGGAGGACAAACCTCTCTCTTGCTGAGCAGCATGGCATTATCCTAGAATTAGCTGCCATTTTTCTGAGTGGTCGCTTCTGGGATTGTGCTACTTTGCTTTGCTTATCTGAGAAATGCAAAGCAAAGCATGCTGCTCTGTTGCTGGGCTGTACAGCGCAATCCTGAAAGTAGTTGCTTAGAAAACTAGAGTTGCTTGTAGGATTGCGACATGCAGCCCAACACTAGAGTGCCCAGTCCTCCTTCCCTATCCCAACTTCCTGAGCCCCAAAGATTTTTGAAAGGTAATTGAGGAGGAAGGTGTGGGGCATAGTGGAGTGGAAAGCATGTTCGAGGCCTGTGGGACCCAGTGAAGGAAAAAGACCTGCAAGGATCCAGTTGGGGAAAAGCAGGTCCAAGCACTATAGAGATCCCGAGGGATGATAAGCAGAGCATGGGTCTCTTAGGGTGTGGGAGTCCTTGGGAAGCCCAGGACAGGTGGGGCTGGGCCTGTGCTAGGCCTCCCAGGACATCCTATTCTCCTTTTAAAAACCTGCACAGTTGTTTAACAACTGCATCAGTGAGAGCAGGGATAGGGGATTATTTAACAAGACAATCTCATTTAATAACCATCACCACTTGCAGATAAAATGTGCAGTCTCCAATATGGTCATAAGTTGAGGACTATCTGTAATCACTTTATGAAAATGTCCAAGTTAGAGAAACTTTTCTTGCACAAAAAGTTGCAACCTAATGATATAAAAAGGTAAGAAACATTGCCTATAAATTTAATTATCTTCTTAACTAAATAATACAATTTAAAGATCCCTTATATTCCCTGCTGTTATTTGTCTGACATCCTGTACACTTAATCTTTTTAAAGAATGTCACTTTCTGCACTTTCATCTAATTTTAGTAGCTTATTGATATACAGGGATTTGAATTCCAAAATAATTGGATTGAAGTTCTAAGTCAAATCAGGGAATGTCCTAGCTATTTTTTAATCAAAATGGCTGTCTCAGCTGCCTTCCCCATCACTTGCACTGCAGCCTGCCACAAGCCAAAGAGGGAGGGGGGATATTAGGGGTAAGAGGGCCTGTTGTAAAAGGGGGGAAAAGGGGGAGACCAGTGCGAACAGGAAGCAGAAGTGTGAACAAGTTTCATCCAGCCTCTTTTGGGGGCCCAGTACCTGGGAATGGAATGTTAACTGCTTTTTGAAGTGTCCTGTTCTCAAAATATCCAGCTACCATCCTAGAAATTTGTGTGGGTTTTCTTCAGATTTGGCCTTCCTTTCGCTGCATACAGTTAGTTGTCTCTAGTAAAAGATCCCTGAAACCTTCAGATGGAAGGTTTTTTATTTTTATTTCCTAGAAGTCAGCTGGGGCAAGGCTGACATTAGGCCAGATCTGCAAAAATGGTCAATCTGGAGCCACCAAGCTACCGTGGGGACTGTGCCACAGATGTCGTCTCATGTGAGTGACTAAGAGGAGGCTGATGCCGGGGGAGAAGCAATTGCCAAGCCCCATGGCTAGGCAGACCCTTGGAATGGGCAGGAGAGGCGGAGGCTAGTGACGAGCAACTGAAACCTTGGTGGTCAATGGGCATCAGCTGGAAAGAAGAATGGGACAAGAGATTCTCCGGAGTGAACCTCACCCGGGGAGGTAAAGGAACCCACTGAAGAGAATCAGGCATGGAGCTTGAAGAGGAAGGGGCCCAGTGACTCAGACCTTGATGGCATGCTGATTGAGCAAGACATGGAAGCATTGAAGGGGACTGTAGACAACCTTTGGGTCCAAGAAGCCCTGGCTTGCATTTCCTTGCAGGCTGTTTCAGCGTCTAGAGATCAAGGAGGGGATGGAGTGATGACGGTTGCTGCAGCGGGGGGGGGAGGAGGCTGACAGGAGCCCAAATCCAAGCACCAGGACCCACACTCCAACAGTAGGCTGCCCAAGCTGCTGCAGCTCAACCACAAGTGTGGGCTGGCCAACCCAGATGGTGAGACCTTCTTCACTAAACTGAATTTGTGGGAAGCTTATTACAGAGTGAGAATTAAAAAGGGGGATGAATGGAAAACTGCATTTAACTGTCTCTAGGATGTTTCCAGTTCTGGATCTTCCCCTTTGGGCTTCAGGGCACTTCCTGATAAATGAAGTACTGCATGAACATCTATACAAGGAGATCCTAGTGTACTTTGACAACATCCTAATTTATACTGAAACCATGACAGAGCATGTGAAATTGGTGTGAGCAGTGCTAAGAAAACTCCATGCTGCCCAACTATATGCTAAGCTTTCCAAATGTGAATTCCACAAAGAGAGAATTGACTATTTATGTTATCATATATATCCCATGATGGCATAGAAATGAACCCTGAAAAGATGCATGTGGTCCTTGACTGGACCCAAAAGCATCTTCAAAGTGTCTTGGCATTTGTGAATTTCTATCGTCAGTTGATATCTTCTTTTGCACAAATAGTTCTACCCATTACAAACTTGCTAAAAACGAAAAGGGAGGGGAAGCCTAAACTCAGCCAACCTTAAAAATGGTCTATGGCAGTGGTTATCAACCTTCCTAATGCCGCGACCCTTTAATACAGTTCCTCATGTTGTGGTGACCCCCAACCATAAAATTATTTTCGTTGCTACTTCATAACTGTAATTTTGCTACTGTTATGAATCGTAATGTAAATATCTGATATGCAGGGTGTATTTTCATTGTTACGAATTGAACATAATTAAAGCATAGTGATTAATCACAAAAACAATACAGCAATGCTTGCTGGAGAAGCTTACTCTTCCTTGCTCAAAAATGTTGGGAGGGAGAGAAGGGGAAGGAAGGAAGGAAGATTGAAGGGGGAAGGAAGGAAGGAGAAAGAGATTGAAGGGGAAGGGATGGAGATGGAAGGAAGGAAGGAAGGAAGATTGAAGGGGAAAGGAAGGAGATGGAGAAGGAAGGAGATTGAAGGGGAAAGGAAGGAAGGAAGGAAGAAAGGAAGGAAGGAGAGCTTGAAGGGGAAGGGAAGGAGATGGATGGATGGAAGGAAGGAATGATCTTTGGAGAGTCATGTTTTCCCAGATGGTGATGAACTGCAACTCCCAGCATTCCCCACTCTTCCACAGTGCTTTTTAGGGCTGCTGGGGATGGTAGTCCAGTAAGGTCTGGAGACACACACAGATGCCTTAGCAGGGAAAATTGGCCAGGTAATTGCTGTGGCTTTACTTGGAGGCATTCTGCAGCTCCTGAAAATCACTTTAACCAATTTTGCCTGGTTCAGCAAAGGCAACAAATAATAAAACAAGCAACAGGTACCGGTAATAAAATAGCCCAAATTGTCCTTTCCAGCGCAGATGAAAAGAACCAGGGAAAGGGAAATCGCGTCTGCCTCTTTGACTAACGGGAGGAGAAGCGGTAGGAAAAGTGCGGTGTTTCGGCCTGGGCACACAGCCTTGCCTGCAGGCGCTGCCAAGGACGCACAGGCAGCTCTGCATAATTGCCCGGGGGGGAGGCTCTGGCGGACAGCCTGGCGGACAGCCAAGCGGCGGCACCTCCGGGGCCTTGGAAGCCACGCGGAGGATCTGCGCGCCTCAGAGCCGCCGGCCACCCTCTCGTGCCCGCAAACCTGGAGCCCCCCATCCTCATCCCGGCACCTCTTGCCCTCTCCCAGCCGCCCCCCTGGGACCTGCCCACCCCTCCAGCCTCCTGAGCGCCATCGCAGCGGTGGGGTC